TGTTGCAGATTAGGATCGGGCCGTTTACATTTGACTTAAAAGACACCAAAGTGCTGAGGATGCAAAATGGGGGAGGGTCACTTGCTCAGTGTGACCCTTCTGAAGTTTGGAGTTTTGGACACGGTTCACTAAAATATTTGTAGTATTTAACCAATGCAAACTCCATTCAGACGCAGTATTTGTCAGTATGAGAGGAAGAAGGCAACCTAAGTAAACTAAACTATTCTCATTATAGACTCTTCTCATAAGATGAAAGGCCAGGTGGGAGCTCTCCCTTCAAGCACGTACTGTTGAGCTGGCAGGAGTACCAGCCTTAAAAGTCCTATAAACTATTCTGAATTCTAAATATTTGGCTTTTGCAGGTGGCTCCTTAGCTGGGCCGCAGGCATGGACGACTTCTACTTTGCTTTGTTACTGTACACAGGATGGATCACTGAATTTCTGGAAATACCTCTTTCTTTAAACATACCAGTACACTACACGTGAAAAAAAACAGAGTTAAGGCAAACTGTTGGTGCAAGGAAGGTGTAGAGGGCAAGCCTACGCCACTGTGGTGTTCGCCATAGTCACAGTCCAATAACTCCAGCTGTACTTATCTTGTCCATTTAACAGCTTTATTGGATTCCATCGTTTGTATTTGTTGTTCAACAGTATTTAGTATGCAGCGTCATTTTACATAAAATCACACAAACTGTTTGCTCCTTCCGACCATTAACACCTGACGCTAATTACATGTGTCTACCTTAAATACAGTCCCATAAACACACCATGCTGTAAAAACACTAAAAGTGCACACATAAGGTAACAACACACAAAAAAAATGGCTGCTACAGGAGGAGCAAACAATTATTTGGAAATTTATTGTTCCACAGAAGTGAGCTACATTCAGGCAAACTCTGACATCCAAGTTTTTAAACTCACAAGGCTTATTTACCTTGATTTGTGCACGACTGTAAGATGCAGGATGCTCAAAGTGGAATTTTCTAAGCAAGCCTGAGGACAGAGAGGATGTAAACATCAGCCTCTTACCTGGAATAGCAGGACAGGCTGGTGCAGAACACCGTGTTCCCGATGGCAATGGGAACAAAATGCTGATGAAGCCAAGTGTTCACCCAACACTCTGGCATGACGTAGTATCCGTAGCTTATGGCACATCCTGATTTAAAACA